TTTAAAAATAAAATTTTATATCTTAATTGATGCGTTGCCTGGCTCGAGGGACAATGGTTTACACGTGCGTGTAATTTTGATTCCTGGAAATTATGCGTATGTGTATCCCCTTGTATACACATAATATATAAAAATGTGCGCGTGTGTGTTTGGGTGTGTATGCGTGTATGGGTGTTTGTGTGTGTATTTGTGTATGTGTGTGTGTGTGTGTGTGTGTGTGTGTGTGTGTGTGTTTGTGTGTGTATGTGTTTGTGTGTGTATAAGTGTGCGTGTGTGTTTTCTTTTAGTGGCTTCACATGAAACGTAACAATATATCTAACTGTTTCTTCCCAGCCCAGCGACATGAAGCTGCTGTGTTTTGAACGTGACAACATTACCCAGCAGTGTTCGCCCACCCAGAAGGGACATGTGTACAGCGCCAGCTTCGAGTTCTACCCCTTCCACGAGGGGGCCACCTATGCCATCTACAAGGGCGTCCTCAGCGGTGAAGGCCCCAGAGATGGTCAGTTTTGCGTGGTCAGAACGATGCTGGATAGACAGGCGGCTGAAGACGACTGGACGCCCCTGCTGAGGAGGGCCGATGAAGCCCGGAGGTTGGCCGCGGAGTTCAACAAACATCTAGGCTACAACGCCGTCGTGTTCGAAGAACCAGTTCTTACCCAGATCGAGGCTGTCTCAGATTTCACTAGACTCTTTCGAGTCTTCAAACCTCACGACAAACGTCTCAAGCTCAAAGAGTTCGTGGCGTTAGAACGATATCTAGAGGGAGAGTTCCGGAAACCCAACATTCTCTCTCAACAGGCTGCAGCCTGCACTGGAAGCCATTATAACAGTAACAGCAATGAAGATGATGTGTATTCTGGCATGGCTGCTGGAGATCACCCGGAAATGACGCGAACAGAGGAGCGGGACATCATTCAGGCGTTCAGTCACTTCAGCTGGTTGGAAACCAAACAGAGCCTAGTGGTGTGCGGCCTGCAAGGAGTCTTCGACGAGGAGTTTCGCACGTTTCGATTCTGCAACCCCGTCATACACTCCAAGGACAAACGATTCGGCGAAAGCGACGGGGCTACGGCGGGAATTCAAGAGTTCCTCGCCAAACATCGATGCAACAACCACTGCAACGCCTTCAAGTCGAGAAGGGAGCTGAGACGAGATCACAACATTTTCTCTCCCGAGACGAACGACAAATTGATGCCTTCCATATCACGCTTTTTGGAACTTGCGAATAATACCTGACCACAGATTTGGCTGTTAAATCTATAGTAGATTGGGGAGGGTTTTTTTGTGTCTTCGCGAGTGCCTAATATTCGTGGATTTCTTATATTGCACAGCAGCCTAATACGGGGTGCCTATTACTGATGGGGTCGGCGGGTCGGGCCGATCACCGGACTCGGTCGTCTCAAATACAAACGTGTTTATTTTCAGTTTCGGGCGACTGAGTCGGGCGATCGGCCCGACCCAGCCGTAATGGGCACCCCGTATAAGATTAAATGACGCGATAACGATGCTCGTTGGAACTTTTATACCTATGGTGTTTGCTGTACACATTTTTAACATAGTAAATCTGTTTAGCATGTTGAAGGTCAGGTCAATTTTAAATTAATTTTTCGATAAAACGAGTGAGCCAAACGAGAGAAGAGCCACGGAACATCTTGATGAAGCTTAATTTTCAAGGATGCCTGTTTTGAAATTTAGTCAACTGGGATCACCCGCTCCGCAGTCCAGAATGATATCAACTGAGCTTACAGCGCACATCAGGCTTACAACTGGGAAAGAAAGAGGAAGAAAGTTAGTTCGTCACGATGCCCTTTCTAACATATGGGATCATTTTTGTGTTTGGGAAAATGAGATGCTCGAGTAAGAAAATATAGACTGTTATATAATTTATAATAATATAATATATAGGTCGGGTTTTATTGTTTGTTTGTTTTTCAGTTGTCAAAAAAGGTCCTCATTCACTATTTGACGTCATGGCGCAACGTGCATTTATTACTTGTGTTCAGACCCACGACAAAAGACAAAAGGTCTCTTAACTAACCAACGCTACTTAATTTCCTGATTACAGTTGGTAATAGGTCTACACCTCACCTAACTTCTATCTCGGATTTTTACGATTACCTTTCTAAGATTCACTGTTTAATGTGCAATCAAAGTATACTTATTACTGGTTTTACATGGCTGTATTGCTACAACACATAATCGCAGTTCTCATTGTTTTGATAATATGATCATTACCGTTTGCAGAACGTTTTTCCTCTGCCTCGAAACTTGACTCAGGTGTCAATTTATGGGACCATAATCTTACTCTATAATTAATGAGAACTCATAGATAACAATGTCTGTCTGTCTGTCTGTCTGTCTGTCTGTCTGTCTGTCTGTCTGTCTGTCTGTCTGTCTGTCTGTCTGTCTGTCTGTCT